CATTCGTTATCTCCATTCTGCCCACTTTCCATTCAGGTTTTATCTCCAAGTAATCTGGTTTCTGATTCCACCACTGTACTCAAACCACCTAGTCTCTGAGTGTATCAAACACCTTCTAATTACTAATTCCAAAGGGCGTGTTTTAATCCTTTTCTTATCATATTATAATTCTCTCTCAATCTTCAAACTCTTCCTTTCTACAAGTCATGTGCATTAGTTCTCTCATCTCTTTAATGATTTATTCTTAATGTTCTTCTGAGTGTCAGCATGCTACTTAAATGTTGGCATTCCTTGGCTCTCATTTTCTTTTTCTACATAAGCCCTCTCCTCTTAGGGTTTTAAATATCATTTTAATATTACTGTCCCCAAATCTATATTCTGGAACATTTCACTTATTGCCCACTAAACATATCCATTGGATTAACGACCTCCTATTTGTTCATTTGATTGACATTTCCTTCATGTGCATGATGTGCCAGACACTGCAAGAAGTTGCAGTGAATTGAGGACATAGCGCCTGGCCTCATAGATGGTACGTAGCTAAAACTGTTGTTTCTCTAAACTCTGCCCAACCTGCTCTTCCTCCTTATAGGCCCCATCTCAGCTGAGAACCTCAATCCACTCATCACTCAACCCAGAAAACTTTGAACTCTCCAATATTTTATGTCCTTTAACCCCCACATTTGGTACATTCTCCAAATCCTGTCTTTTCTACGTTCCTAAGATTTTTTGAATCTGTCTTTTCTATTCTTATTTCCAAAGCCATAACTTAGTCTTCGCTGTCCAAGGCTTGAATTTGCGATAACTCCCTGCCTGGCTACTCTGTGTCCAGTCTTTTTCCCTACCATCCAGCTACCGTAATAGTCTCCCATTTTACCCTCCTGTTTATAATCCTTTGAGTATTCCTTATCTTCCAGACTCTAGGGCCTGAAGTCCCAGCTCCTTAGCATGGCATAAAAGTCCTTAATCTGATCACTTCTTCCCTCTCCAGGCAAGCACTCCTTCCCCCTCTCCTCCAAGTCCTTAAACTTTTTATTCAGTAATTCTGAGCTATGTGTTTTAACAACATGCCCTGCGTTTTTATGGCCTCTGTTCCTTTGTACAGGTTGTGGTCTCTGCTTTGAGTACCTCTGTCCATCTTATCTTCTTGTGGATCAACTGTCACCTAGTCAGGGAGAGTGTTCCCTGATCCCTTTGTGCTGCACATCATCCTGTCCCAGACAGAATATATCACTTTCTCTTCTAGACTATCTTTGCATCTTTGGCATATTTATGTTAATGCCTTTATTATAATATATTTTTGTCACATGTTTACATGTATGTGTCTCCTAATAAACTTTGAGTTCTTGAGGAAAGAAAAAAAAAAGTCTGGTAGAATTCAGCAGTGAAGCCATTTGGTTCTGGGCTTTTCTTTGTTGGGAGACTGCTAATTACTGATTTAATGCTATTTATTGTTTTCTGCCTAGGTTTTCTATTTTTTTTTTTTTTTTTGGTTCAATCTTGGTTGGTTGTATATGTCCAGAAATTTTTCCCTTTCCTCTAGGTTTTCCAGTTTGTCAGCATATAGTTCTTCCTAATAGTCTCTAACGATCCTTTGCATTTTTGTGGTATCAGTTGTAATTTCCCATTTTTCATTTCTGATTTTATTTATTTTGCATATATGTGTATATGCTCATATGTATACATGTTTCTTAAATAGTTTGTTGAGCTAATTATTGTTATCAATAACAATAGTGTTGGTCCCTCAAAAGCTATGCTCAATGGCTTGAATAAGAATTCATATATATTTTTCCTTATTAACACTTTTCTGTAAATAAATGTCTGATGATTGAATGAAGTTCTACAATGAAATGAAGTTCTACAAGACAGATTTTTGTGATGTAAATATGGTTTAAAAGATATAGGTTAAAATTTATTCTATTTCTTATTTTTTTTCTGGAATAACATGCTTTCCCATAGCACAGGAGGAAGCAAAATAAAACCTGGACATTAATATAGCTAGTACTGTCATGCAGATAACAAATTTTTATTAAAGACATTCATTTAAATTACCTTACACTTAAAAAAAAAAAAAAAAGATTACATATGTTGATTTTTCCCCCCTGGGGATCTTTAGCAAAAGGCCCTAAGAATTTTAAGTCCCTGCTTTAAATAACTGCTTTCAAATTTTTAATTGATGTTGTATTCTCATTATTTTAAAAATGATGTTTAAAGTAAGCAAATTGCTTGAAGAAAATATTAA